GCCAGAAAGATAAACACCAATACAGTATACTAATTCATATATATGGAATTTAAAAAGATGGTAATGATAACCCTATATGCAAGACAGAAAAACAGACACAGATATATAGAACAGACTTTTGGACTCTGTGGGAGAAGGCGAGGGTGGGATGATCTGAGAGAATAGCATTGAAACATGTATATTATCAAGTGTGAAACAGATCACCAGCCCAGGTTGGATTCATGAGACAACTGGGCTGGTGCACTGGGAAAACCCAGAGGGAAGGGATGGGGAGGGAAGTGGGAGGGGGGATCTGGATGGGCAACACATGTAAATCCATGGCTGAGTCATGTCAATGTATGGCAAAAACCACTACAATATTGTAAAATAATTAGCCTACAACTAATAAAAATAAATGAAAACAAACAAAGACATTAATAAACAAATTATCTTTTAGAATTAAAAAAAAAAAAAGATGAACCATGAGTGCTGGTAGTTGGGGCTGCCAGTGGAGCCAACTAAGGAGTTACTAGTACTCCCTCCTCTCCTAGCGCCCCCCTTCTCCCCCGCCCGTTGGTGGGCGTTGCTGTCAGTCATTTCCAGGAACTCGCCCAGTGATCATCTCTTTCTCGTCTTCACAGCGTTTTTCATGCATCAGTTTAAGTGTGAGTGTCGTTTCTCCAACGGGTTGGAGAGGATGCGATTCTTTGCCAGATACATCTACAACACGGAGGAGGATGTGCACTTCGACAGCGATGTGGGGGAGTTCACGGCCGTGACGGAGCTGGGGAGGCCGGACGCCGAGTACTGGAACCAGCAAAAGGACTTTATGGAGCAGATGCGGGCCAAGGTGGACATGGTGTGCAGATCCAACTACTTGGGCATTGGTAGCTTCATGAGGCAGCGCCGAGGTGAGAGAGGCAGGTGGGTGGCCTCGGGGAGGTTGTGTGTATGTGTGTGTGTGTGTGTGCGTGCATGCGTGTGTGCAAGGTTGTGTGTGTGAGAGAAAAAGACAGAGACAGAGGCTGAGTCCAGGTGAGTGTTGGATTGTGAGAAAGTTCAAGTTAGGAAAGTTGCTGTGAGAGGATGAGACTGGGAGTCTCACCCGCTGTCGGGAGACAGTGTGTGATTTTGTCAGTGTGTGATTGTGAGAGGGGAAGGAGCATGTGGTGGGGGAAGAGCCCGGGGGTCTGAGAGGACCGGGAAGGGGATGCAGGAAGGAAAGATGGTAGCAGACTGTGGAAGTGAGGCGGCAGAAAGGGGAAGGGGATATGGAGGAATGCTGACTGGGATAGGTGGTTAGGCTTTCCTCGTGGCTCAGACATAAAGAATCTGCCTGCAATGCAGGAGACCTGGGTTTGATCCCTGGCTGGGGAAGATCCCCTGGAGAAGAGAATGGTTACTCACTCACTCGAGTATCCTTGCCTGTAGAATTCCACGGACAGAGAAGCCTGGCAGGCTACAGTTCATGGGGTCACAAAAAGTTGGACACGACTGAGTGACTAACACTGTAGGTAGTTAGAGAGGAGGGGAGGGCACTGAAGTGTCTGCGACTGTGCTACCCAACAAAGGGCTCTGGAACTTGGACATTCATGGTAAGCTGTGGTACGGGAGCTTCAGCACCTCATCTTCCTGGATGATGGACCCTTTGCTTCATGTCTGAGTCTTTTGCTTCTGTGGTCAGGGAGAAACTTTGGTTCTGGGTTCAAATTCTCACCTTTGTTAATGCTTCAGCTGCAGGACTCATGGTTTTGTTCTTTCGTCTCTGAAAAGAAACTCAGTATCTTGTTTGAAACAGAATAAGGCCAGTTTGGAGCTGGTTCTGGGTTTACACAATTATAAGAAATTTTAAGTTTTTTACTCTTTTAATATTAATTAACTTTTGACTGTGCTGGGTTTTCCTTACTGCATGCAAGCTTTCTCTAGTTGCAGCGAACAAAGACTACTTTCTAGTTGCAGTGCATGGGCTTCTCATTGCAGTAGCTTCTCTTGTTGCAGGGCATGGGTTCTAGGGTGTGAGATCTTCAATAGTTGCAGCATGTGGGCTCAGTAGTTGTGGCAGGGGTTTAGCTTCCTTGAAGCATGTGAGATCTTCTCAGATCAGGAGTTGAGTTTGTGTCCCTGCATTGGCAGGTGGATTCTTAACCACTGGACCCCCAGGAAAGTTGAAGAATTTTTTTTTTTTTAATTAGTGACTTTCCTTCCTGCTTTACCTTTCCTTCAGGACTCAAGTTTTTCTTGGGATTCAACTCATAGACTTAGAGAATCACCTGTGTCTTTCCTTCTTCCCAGGGTGGAACCATTTTGAGGTGTTCTAAGGTGTGAGTGCCTGGAAGCAGCTTTCCCAAGACTTCATGCTCTATATCCACACCTACCCCACTGCTGTTCCCTAATTTATCAACACTTTGACTCATATTTTCTCTTCAGTTAATAAGGATAATAATAGCTGACATATATTGAAGACTAAATTCCAGTTATTGTTTTATATACCTTACATGCATTAATCCTCACATAGCACTGAGAGGTAAATTAGGGTAATTATCCCCTTTTATAGATAGAAAGCCAAGGCACATAGAAATGTAAAAATTCTCCCAATCACTGAAAGGAAGAGCCTGGATGTGAACCCAGGCTGTCTGGCTTCAGAAATCATGCTTTTAATCAATACACTGTATGCCTTGAAAGATTTGTAAATGCTTCAGTCCAACAATGAATTACTATTCACACTGTGAAGCACACACACATATTTTTTCAACATCTTTCAAATCTAACAGGCCAGTGCTGTAAGGATTAAAGTCAAGGCTCACAGTACTAGCTCCTAAAGTTGGGCCAAATGGCCAGTCTGGCCTACCTGAGACTGCAGTCTGCTCAGGTGATTGGTTTAGAAAGTCAGCCAATCAAGGAGACTCCCTTTGTCTTGCTCACTAATTCCCTCCACCTTTTCTCTCCTAGTGGAGCCTACAGTGACTGTGTATCCTGCAAAGACCCAGCCCTTGCAGTACCACAACCTCCTGGTCTGCTCTGTGAACGGTTTCTACCCAGGACACATTGAAGTCAGGTGGTTCCGGAACGGCCATGAAGAGGAGGCTGGGGTGATCTCCACAGGCCTGATCCCTAATGGAGACTGGACCTTCCAGACCATGGTGATGCTTGAAACAGTTCCTCAGAGTGGAGAGGTCTACACCTGCCAAGTGGAGCACCCCAGTCAGAAGAGCTCTATCACAGTGGAATGGAGTGAGAAGCTTTCTGATCTCATAAGTTCCTCACCCACCAAGGAAGGGGCTTGCTTTCCCCCGAGTGTCAGGTGTCCTCTCGTCCTACACCATGGGTTCATTTGCTCCTTATTCTCCTGTCCTTCGGCTGAGGTTATTGGGGGAGTCCTTTATCCTGTGATAGAAATCCTCTGATAGTTTACAGATATCCTGGGATATTTTCTCCAAATACCTACATGCCCCACCCTGCCCAGGAGGCACTTCTGCCTGACAAGGAGAAAAGAGATGTCCCTATTCTGAACCTCCATGAATCTCAAGTCAAGGTCACCCTGTGACCTGGATACTAGTCTCTTCCCTCAGGCTGGGCTTATGCTTCGGACACTGTTGCTCTGAGTTGTTCACTGTGATCTGAGAAGAGGTGCATCCTTTACAGTGTAGAAACCTTCCTGACATGAGTGGAGTTCAACCTCAGCTATGCCCTTTATCAGCTCTGTCACCATATACAAGCTGTTTAACCTCATTCAGTCCCACGTTCCTCACCTATCAAATATTGAAGTCCTGTGGCCTTATATCAGGACTACAATGTTTAAATGAGTTCAGTGCCTGAATCTTGAAGCTACTCTCTGTGATTTTTAAAACAAATTTTTGTAGGAATTGCCAGTTATTCTAGTCCTTCCAGGGCAGTCTTCTTTCCCCCTTCTCAAAACGCTCGGTATTTTAGTAGGTCTGCTTAATGTTACGTAGCAGCCTGGATGGGAGGGGAGTTTAGGGGAGAATTGTTATTGTTTAGTCTCTAACTCATGTCCAACTCTTTGTGGCCCCATGGACTGTAGCCCACCAGGCTCCTCTATCCATGGGGTTTCCCAGATAAGAATACTGGAATGGGGTGTCATTTCCTTCTCCCTTGGGGGAGAATGGATGCATGCGTGTGTCTGCCTTAGTTCCTTTGTGTCTGCCTGAAACCGTGACAATATTGTTAATTGGCCATACTCCAATATAAAATAAAAAGTTTAATAAAAAATTTTCAATCTTATGCAGCCACTTTGGAAGGTGGTATGGAGATTCCTTAAAAAACTAGAAATAAAACCACCATATGACCGAGCTATCCCACTGCTAGGCATATACCCTGAAGAAACCAAAATTAAAAAGGCACATGTACCCCAATGTTCATTGCAGCACTATTTACAATAGCTAGAACATGGAAGCAAGATAAATGGATAAAAAAGCTGCAGTATATATATATATACAATGTAATATTACTCAATCATATAAAGTAACACCTTTGAGTCAGTTCTAATGAGGTGATAAACCTAGAACCTAGTATACAGAGTGAAGTAGGTCAGAAAGAGAAAGATAAATATCATACACTAACACATATATATGGAATCTAGAAAGATGGTACTGATGAAAGTTTCTGCAGGGCAGCAGTAGAGACACATACATAGAGAACAGACTTATATGGACACGGAACGGGGATAGGAAGGACAGGGTGAGATGTATGGAGAGAGTAACATGGAAACTTACATTACCATATGTAAAACAGATAGCTGTACCACTCAGGGAGCTCAACAGGGGCTCTGTAACCTAGAGGGGTGGGATGGGGAGGGAGATGGGCCAGAGGCTCAATGGGGAGGGGACATATGTATTCCTATGACTGATTCATGTTGACATTTGTTAGAAACCATCACAATTCTGTAAAGCAATCATCCTTCAGCTAAAAAAAAAAAACATTAAAAAATTCTCAGTCTTAGAGATTGAAATAGAGAAGTTGTATTTGGGATAAAAATGACTAAAATTAGCTTCTTTTCTCAGGAGCACAGTCTGACTCTGCTCAGAGGAAGCTGATGTGTGGAATTGGAGGCTTTGCTCTGGGTCTGCTCTTCCTTGGCGTGGGGCTGTCCATCCACTTCAGGAGTAAGAAAGGTGAGGAGTTGGCAGATGATACTCCTCACAGGCTTTGGGGAGAAGAAATATGACTTTGCTTGGGTAGTTCAGTGACCCTATATGAAGTCTCTCATTACCTAGTTGACCTCAAATTTCCTGAAAATCCAGAAATTGACAGTCCATGGTTAGCCCTGGTTGAAACATGAAAGGTGATGGCCTATAAAGATAAGAAAAAGGTTAACACACATGAAATTTGGGGTGGAGATCCTGGGGCAAATGCAGGAAGAGACACTAAGGCTGATGAAATTACACTGGGTTTGTGTGAGAGAAACTTCATGCTCTTCGTGTCTCCTCTCCTCTCTATCCTGGCATCCTGTGATGTGGGCCGTGGTGTGAGAGAAATCTTAGAAAGTGCTCTGAGTCCAAGAACATTGTGTATGGGGATGGATTTACCTCCACATCTTTTAAGTATATGTCTTTCTTCCTCTTTCCCAGGACACTCTGCACTTCAGCCTGCAGGTAATGCTCTTTAACTCTCTTTTAGAATCGTATTTAGTCTCCTAGAGCAGACGGTAGAGGTGACGAGAGAGGAGACAGAAATAATGAGAAAGACTGTGAATCTGACTTCTGACCATGCAGTTTACACTGAAGCTTCTTCTGTCCACTAAACAGAAGGCTTGAACTCTAAAGTGGCTTTGGCTCGAGGAGACTTAAGAATTTTTCCCTTTCTTACTGCAAGCTTTAACAGGAGGCCCTGAGAGGCAGAGACGAGGGGGAAAGCTGCTTGTAAAGTAAGACTGGAAATGACACTGTCCTCTGTTTCCTGCAGGACCCCTGAGCTGAAGTGAAGATGGTGACACTCAAAGAACCTTCTGTCCCAGCTTCTTCACAGTCTGAAAAGGTCTCCTGCTTGGCTCCTAGTCCTCCACAACAAGAGTGCGTCTCAGGATCTTGTGCTCTCCTGCTTGAGTGACTGCAGAAAATGTCCTTCTTGCTGGTTTCCGTGGCCCCCACGTTTGACCTGGATGTTCTCAGTATTGATCACCATACCTTGTCTTCATTCTTTCCTGGTTCCCTTTGTTTTCAACCTTTAGTACCTCCTATGCCTCTGATCTCATCTCCTGTCCATATGATTTAACTTTTTATCTCAAATAAATATGGACTGGCAATCATCTGCTTTATACAGTTTCAAGGAAAGAAGTAGAAAGAAAACAGAAGTGGAGGGTGGCATCACAAAACAATAATGATTATTATTTCCTATATATTCCTAAATTTGGTCATTTGTGGATCTGGAGGTTTCCTTGCTCCCTTCCCTGTTTTTTCCTTGAGTTTTCTGCATTCTGTCATTAGGCATGTTTTCCTGAGCTAGAAGAAAGGCCTTAATTCCCTCCATCATGGTGATTTCCTACATCTTTACAACCTCAAAGATAAACACAGTTTCTAGTAATCTGCTATTATTTAAAAGTTATAAAAAGTATATTTGTGTTTTATTTTCTCCTTTGCCATGATTTTTAGACAAAGTGTCTAATCCTGGGTTAGTTCACTCCTTGAACTCCTCTTTAATTAGACTAATAGTGGTCTTCAATATTTAAATCTTTTTCTGTCTCTCAGATAAACATCAGTGACATGCTGATGCTTTGGCTGGGGTGCATTCTTCCCTGTAAGTAGGTTTCAGAAGGCCACTAAGACAAAGCCACAACTCTAGTGGAAAAGATGCATTTCTGAGTCCCCCCAGAGTGTGTGATAAATTGTTGCCTGTTTCAGGAAAATCCAGTATGGATCTTAGCAGAAATCAGAGACAATTCTGAAAAAACAAAAGAAAATTTATGAATACAGGGATGTTCATCCAAACAAAAAAATATCCTACAACTGGAAGAAAAATGAGACTCTCTACTCTAGAATAATTCCAAAAATGTACTTTCAGTATGTTTAGGAGATTTGTACAGTATATAATATTTTAAAAATTAAGATGGAGGAGGAGAATATCTATCTATCATCTACTTACATTTGTAAATAGAAACAATGGCAGAACTTTAAAAAAAAATTACTACCTTTTGGGCAAATGAGAGAATAGATTAAAGGGGACAAATATGAAAGTCAGACTTTTTTGAATTTATTTCATTTAATAGTTTTAACTAGAGGAACATTCAAATATTCTATGTAATAAAAATAAGTTTAAATTAAAAGTTTAACAAAGTGATGCTTAAAACTAAAAGCAAACTGGAATGATTCAAACAGATTTGACCAAAAGTATATGATAGAAAGCAAGCTAGAAAAGTAAATAAAATTTTTTTTGACCCTGCATAAAAGATTGTTGAACTATAATTGTAAGTAAGTATATAGTTTTAAGTTCCAAAGACTTTAATAATATAAAAGAGTTGGATAGGCCCAGAAACCATGGGGGTTTCTCCTAGCTCAAGGAACCACCATGATAGAAGGAATTAAGGCCTTTCTCCTAGATCAGGCTTAGGCAATTAAATTGCTTAAGAAGATGGTGGGTTCTGCTATTGTATTCCATCTGAAGTCAATGTGTATGCTCACTTGTATCCAACTCTTTGTGACTGCATGGACTGTAGCCTGCCAGGCTCCTCTGTCCATGTTTTCCAGGCAAGAATACTGGAGCAGGTTGCCATTTCCTCCTCTAGTGGATCTTCCAGATCCAGGGATTAAACCCACGTCTCCTGCGTCTCCTGCCTTGCAGGCAGGTTCTTTACCCATTGAGCCATCAGGGAAGCCCATTCCATCTGAAAAGTCAATTTCAAACACAAATTAAATCAAAACAGTAGGTAATAGATTCAGAAGTTTATTTCAAAGTAATTGTTGAATTCTTCACAGTCTTGCACATCTATTATTTTCAAGCAAATTCAAAGTCTGTTTTGCATATGTTAATTACACTATGTGTTATTTGTGTGAAACAGGTTATCATCCTGTAGAGATTTGATAAATCATGTCTGCCATGTGCATACAGTTAGGATAAGTTTTATTTGATCCCAAGGTTGCAACTTTATTGTCATTTTGTTCTCTGATTTGAATAAATAAATGTTTCATTTTGTTTGAGACCTGTGGTGTGAAATTACAAGGTAGAACTAAAGGCTATAGTATGAATATATCTATGAAGACACTTTCTGCTACTAGTAGCAGAAGAATCCAATCTAATTAACTTTCCTTTACTTTAACTTATTATCTCACATAACGGATAGACCAAGGTAGGGAATTTCCAGAATTGGTCAATTTATCAGGCCAATGGCATCAGCAATGATCTGAAAGCCAGGAAAAGAGAACTGTTGCTTCTCATGTGGTTTTATAAGAAGCAACCAAACTTTTCTCTTAGTGTTCCCAGCAGACCCACTTCCTCACACATTAGGAGGATCATGGATGACGATGGCAGCTCACATAAATCAGATTTCACCCTTTGTGACGTGGGCCTGCTTCCTGTGATGCACAAGGGAAGGAGAGGTTTAAAATTATCTTTCTTTTTTAAGAGAAAGAAATGTTCCATGAGGTGAGGAGGATGGTTTTACCATATGGAAATACAGTGTCTGGTACTATTCAACTGTATTTTTTGTAACTGCCTCATGAAGGATGATAGGTATTTAAATAAGTGTCATTTCAAGGATTTTTTTTTTTTTTTTTTTAGCACTGAGACTTAAGTACCAGCCATAAGCCACTTCCTTCCACCCCAAAAGCAAATAAGCAGGATTGCTTGTTTGATTTTAGAGTATATGCTGGCTCATAATTTTATGAGGAAAACTATATTTTTGGGAGAATTTTTTTTTTAAAGGACACGTAATGAGGAATTACTTTTTAAAATGTTAAAATCTATTATACATTTATTTTATTAAGCACTTTTTTGCATTGATTTATTATTTGTTATGCATGTGTGCTTAATTGCTGAGTCATATCTGACTCCTTGCGACCCCAGGGACTCTAGTCCACCAGGCTACTCTGTCCATAGAATTTTCCAAGCAAGAGTACTGGAGTGGGTTGCCATTTCCTACTCCAGGGGATCTTCTTGAGGAGGATTCAGAGATCGAACACCAATCTCTTGCATCTCCTGCATTGGTAGGCAGATTCTTTACCACTGTGCCACCTTGGAAGCCCTATTATTTGTTACATGAGTCCAGAATTAGATCCCTGGACATTTGAGGTTTAGATTAATACAGAGAGTTTCAAGTTGTTTGTCAAGAATAACGCAAACTCATTCCTTCAAACAAAATGGATACTTTACACACACACACACACACACACACACACACACACACACACACACGAAATTGTTCATAGCAATATTAGTAGTTATAACACAAAACTGGAAACAATCTTAGAAAATACATTGTATCTATGCAATGGAAAACTATTTAGCAATAAAAAAAGAACAAGTGAAAAACATCTAAAAGAATTTATGATACATGCTGCAAAATGGATGACCTTCAAAAATATCCTAAGGGAAATAAGTGAACGTTGCTCAGTTGTGTTCAACTCTTTGTGACCCCATGGAGTGTATAGTCCATGGAATTCTCCAGGCCAGGATACTGGAGTGGGTAGCCTTTCCCTTCTCCAGGGGATCTTCCTGACCCAGGAATCGAACCAGGGTCTCCTGCATTGCAGGAGGATTCTTTACCAACTGAGCTATTATCAGGGAAATAAGTCAAACACAAAAGACTAATTGTCATAGGATTGTACATGAACTGTCTATAAAAGGCAAATTTGTCTAGTCAAGGCTATGGTTTTTCCAGTGGTCAAGTTTGGATGTGAGAGTTGGAAAGCAGAGTGCCGAAGAATTGACGCTTCTGAACTGTGGTGTTGGAGAAGACTCTTGAGAGTCCCTTGGACTGCAAGGAGATTCAGCCAGTCCATCCTAAAGGAGATCAGTCCTGAGTGTTCATTGGAGGGTTTGATGTTGAAGCTGAAACTCCAATACTTTGGCCACATGATGCGAAGAGATGACTCATTTGAAAAGACCCTGATGCTGGGAGGAGGAGAAGGGGACGACAGAGGATGAGATGGTTGGATGGCATCACCGACTCAATGGACATGAGTTTGGGTGGACTCCAGGAGTTGGTGTTGGACTGGGAGGCCTCGTGTGCTGCAGTTCATGGGGTTGCAAAGACTCAGACATGACTGAGTGACTGAACTGAACTGACAGACTGAAAGCAAGTCAGTGGGTCTCTAGAGCTCGGAATGGAGTAAAAACTACCTATAAACAGGAAACCTTCAGAGGTGTTAGAAATGTTCTAAAACTGGATTGTGGTGGTATTTGCACATATTTATAAAATCACTAGGAATTTTCCAGTTGAGTATGAGGTAAACTGTGAATGTGCCATATATATAGCCTTTATTATGCTCAGCTCTGTTCCTTCTAGACCCATCATAAACCAGTGTTGAATCTTGTCAATTGCTTTTCATGCAGTTCTTAAAATGACCACGTAAGTTTTATCCTTCAGTTTTTAACGTGGTGTATTGCGTTGATTGATCTGCAGATGTTGAAACATCCTTGCATCCCTGCAATAAATCCCACATCATGCTGTATGAT